AACGTACTTAATGGTTAAATTAAGATATATATCAAAATAATATTAGCGGTTATATATATATATAGCAACCAAACGACTACATAATCATCATTTTGATCGTTTACTCCAAATTTACTGATGCATTCACGATAAATATCTTATCGCAAGCTTTCTTCTTCGAATTCAATTCAGTGTAGTTAGGGCATAAATTTGTAACAATTTATAGTTTTAGGGGACTAATTTGTAGCAACCCTAAAGTTTTTTTTAGCAAAAAAAAAAACAAAAAGGTTAATAAAGAAACAAAACGCATCGACTCTGTCTCTCTCGTTGACGCAGAGCAGAAGCTTTAGCACGGCGAAAGCCAGCCAAGCCCGAGAGAGAAGAAACCCAATAATCGTTAAAAAGACTCTTTCTGCTTCGAGTCCTCTGCTTGACTAAACGACACGTCGCTTTTACCTTCCTCTATACCCTTTCTTCTGCATATATTCTTAGTAGATTTTGAGAGGTTCGATTTTGTTTGGGAATGGCAACGGAGACATCAAAAGACGAATTATTGCAGCTAATCAAGCGATTTAGTGCTTATTTAACTGTCAAGATCTCAAATCTCTTCTCTTTTAATACCCTGGTAGGTCTTTCAGTCCCCTTTTTTTTTCCTTTTTTTTCAGTTTTTGGCTTCGATCTGATTGAGATTTTTCTTCTTCTGATTAATGGGTTTTCAGGGTTTAGTGTATTTGTAAATGTAACTGAAATCGTGGGATGTGGTTTGATTGTTGAAAATATTGATAATTAATGGCGTGTGATTTTAGGGTAATTTAATTAATTCTTGGTTTAAATAGGGTAAAGATTGAAGCTTTTGGTTGTAGTAGGGGTGGAGTTTTGTTGAATTTAATAATTTTTTCTTGCTTAAAAAGGGTTTTTTTTCTTTTTCTTTTTTGTTCAATTGTTTCTAATGAGTTGATTGGTTTAATTTGTAGTTCTTTTCATTTTTAATTTTTCCTCTTGTTGGGATTTTTTTTCTATTCTCATTTGTTCTTACTTTTGAGATAATGTTGAAGATTTAAGGATGTTATTGTGAAAATTTTACTTGAAGTATTGAAATTTCATCAAATGTGTATTAACATAGGGATTATTTCTTATTTTAAGAAAATAGAAAAATTAAAAGAATAGTTTTATTTGTGGTATTGAAGTACTCACACGGGATATATCTGGTATCAGGATTCACGATCAGTTGGGGCTGTTGCGGGGCTTGCTGTTGCGATAGTCTTTACATGGAGGTTGTTGAGGTCAAATAGTGGACCTCAAAGAAGGCAGCCGAAACAACAACCTCCTACGACTAGTAGTTCTGTTGTGACTACTCAACCCAACGCATTGTCGATACCTTCTGGGGGTGTTTGTTCATCTTCCGAGGATTTGAGAGTGCAAAATGTTGTTGATGAGTTCTTTCAACCAGTAAAAGTAAGAAACCAATTGTTAAATTGTGTTTTTTTATGTAGACTTTTGTTTATTCTTATTAATGCTTTTCCTTTTGCTTTTCAGCCAACTTTGGCGCAAATTGTTAGGCAAAAATTGAGTGAAGGAAGAAAGGTAAATCCAATCTTAGAACACTAAGCATTATTATGACTGTGCTCTCCATTTGTTAGCTCCTTTGTTTTCGTATCTCATTAAAATTGTTTTGGAAAGTTTTATTTGTCCAGTCTATGTGCATTGACATCGAAGTTTAATTCATGCACTTTGTTTATTTGTGTTAAGTATCCTCTCATTTAGATCATGGGTGGAGTTTTAATTTCCTATATAAAAAAAGTTCCTTTAACTAAACATAAATTTTGACCTTTTCAGCTATGAGCCATAGCCAAAATGCAAATTCCTAGAACTTATATGAACAACTTTGTTATAGGTATTTGAGTTTTGTTCCTTGCATGTATATGCCATTTGCCTCAAGTTGTCTTCCAGCACTTGTTATTTGTATTTTTTCATGCTTCTTGAACTTTTCATTACTTGTTTTGTTGCTATAAATGCCCATGCATGTAAATTTTTTGAATGAATTCTCTCTCAGTTCTAGTCCAGTTTTCAATTGTTTACTTCTAATACATGCTATAAGTTTTAGGATTTTGCTAGTTATAATGCAACAAGAAGACAAATTAAGTTGTCTAATAAAGAAAGCCATTTCCCTCAATGTTTCATGTTCTGATGACTTGTTTCGTGTAGGTCACATGTCGTTTATTTGAGGTAATCCTTGAGGAAAGCAGTCCAGAGGAGCTTCAGATTGTGAGTCAAGCAACTGTGAGGTCCTCTGTGCTGGAAGTGCTGTTAGAAATCACAAAATTTTGTGATCTTTATCTCATGGAAAGAGTTCTTGATGATGAGAGCGAAGTACGTACAAACTTCATGGAGAACAGTCTTTTATCATCATTCTCATTTATTGCAAAATACCATTATTTTTGTTGATATTTGTGTTTCATGGTACTAGCAAGCAGGGTTTTATGTGCATATTTTGCATGCCCTTGTACACGTGACTAGCATGTGGTTGTCATTCAGTCTAAATTTTTCTAACACAGAATTGATGAGACTTAATATTTCTGACTTAGTTATAATGAAGTTGGATGCTTCAGTTGGGTTAGTTGTCCTAAACTTATCTGTGTGGCTATATCAGCATGGTTGAAGTTATTTTCTGTGATGTTTTGTATGTTTTTGCTCCATCGTATTTGATTTATATATTTCTTTGAGTTGATTCAAACATTCAATTTGGATAGTCTTCAACTTTTATCCTTTTTTTTTAATGGTTTATCATTGATCTATATTTAGTTTCCCATTGGCTCTATTTGTCTTAACTTACTGTATATAATTTTAGATTTGGTGGAAAATAATTACAAAAATTTTTAAGGAACCTGTCAAGGATATAGATGCTATCCAGAAATGAGATGTCCCTGTTACTTCTATGACTGTTAGATGTACTTTAACCTGATCTATGCTCCTCTATTACGTTATTCACATTCCTTTTCATCTCCACATTAACTTATCAACAGTTTACTATTCTAATTTGAGGATGCGCACTAGTTGGCCAACTCAGTGTTTGCCTTCTATCAATGTTATTTTGCTTTTGCAATTGTCAGTTATTTATGGAATAAATGGTTTCCGCTGTGAATTACATCTTGAACTATTTTCCACAGCAAAAGATTCTTGCAGCTTTGGAAAATGCAGGAGTTTTCACTTCTGGTGGTTTGGTCAAAGACAAGGTAATTAGAAATGCTTTCAGAATAATATGGTTTCTGTGGTAGCTAATGAGTGAAATTTCCTCTTGTGGAATTGTTACACATGCAATACAGTTGTTTTGTACTGGCTGTTACATCATAACAATTTTTCTGGTATATATTAGGTGTCTGTTTCCTGGCATTCCTTTATATAAGTTGAATTTCAACTTATTTATGATTTTTCATAGCATATCAAGACAGCATGCATGATTATGTTGGCTGCAAGAATCCTACCGAACCTTTTATGAAGGGAGTAGGGAAGATGTTGAATTTCATGAAATTATGCTTTTTTAACTCCTGATAAATTTTGAAGACTCGTCAACTTTCCAAGATCACCTAAGAAAGAGTGTGGCTAATAAGCTCTAATAATATGACAAATATCCCTTCTATATCTATAACGTTTTATACTCTCGCAAATATTTGATAATCATTAAGAAGAAGCTGGACTTGCTCAACTAGCCAACAAGTATGGAATTATGGTGGTGTAAAAACACGAGGAGAATTTGTCATGTCTGAAAGGTATTCATTTATATTTATTTGTTTATTGATGTAATCTGGAGACTCGGGGCACCTCTGGTCCATTGTAATCCAATTTGTAACATATTCATGAATACATTATGAATGCTGTTTGATTTCTACCTGTGTTCAAAATATAACACCTGAATATTCTGCTGAGTTTTTAATATTACCATTTGATGTTTTTTTTTTCCATCTTTTAATTGTCTTTTGTTCTGTTTGTCTTAATTTCTGTAAAATGCATCTGCAGGTTCTCTTTTGTAGCACAGAAACTGGACGGTCATCTTTTGTTCGACAACTAGAGCCAGATTGGCATATTGACACTAATCCTGAAATCCTTTTTCAGTTAGCTGTATGCTTCCTTCACATGCCACGTTTTGAATTCGTCTTTGAAATATTTTTTATTAAACACCATCTGAGTTCCTTTTTTTCTTTTTTATCTTTTTTGTTGTGGCAGAGAATTATCAAAAATCAGCTTCATGTTTCTCCTACTAGAATTGAACGGACGGCTTCAAATGTGTTCAGTTCTCCATCCTTGGAAAAGTTCTTCGGATGCATATGATGTATCGACCCATAAAACTTGAAAATAGAATTTATAAGTCAAAATAGTTTGTTCTTCCTGTTCCGACTGATTACAGCTAAACGTTTTTCAGGCAATCTTTCCTGGTTGCCGGTCTTCTGATGAAAGGCTGTCATGCCATGTATTCCACCGCTATTTCAAGCTCAAAGCTTTATTTGTTTGAAATTTTATGCACTAGGCTGGTCACGTTTGAACTCTCCCAACTTGATATTTCACATATGGATATCAATCAAGAACGTTTTATAAATGGACTCCTGAATTTTGTGGAGATTCAACAAACAATCAATATTTTCACGATCAATAATAATGGATTTTCAGGTGTTCACTTGCGATTCCCTTGCCTCATTGCCCTTTGTTATTCAGTGAGATTATTGAAAATAATCTTCATTTATTCATTCCAGAGATGAAATAAACAGAATTACATGTAATATTAGTTGTGTTCAATAATTCAATCGGTTGTCTGCCTCTTCATGCTTCATCTTTTAATCATTCCAAGTTAAAGGCACATTTTAGCCAAGATGGCTTCATAACCTCGAGTATTATTGCCCTTGTCACGTTAAGAAAACACCCCTTCACATTCATGTGAGGTAAACATCAGCTGGGAATTGGATAGATTTATTACAACATGCAAGCTGCTTTTCGGGAGGTGTCTGTATCAGCAAGCCATCAAATTGATAGAATTCTCCAGATTCTGCAAATCCCATTGACTTGCTAATTGTTAAGCATTTGCATGTGCATGGTTGGGATATTTGATATCACAGCTTTGAAAGTTGAAATTGACTGATTTGCAATCTTCATTCTCTCCTTGGAGATCAAGTCAGAAAGGCAATTTGCCCCTAAATTATTCCCTTCTTTTCCCACACATGACTCTCTGGTTGGGCCATATAATCCGAAATCTGAGCAATGGAGAGGTGGAGGAAAATTAAGCAGAGAATCTTTGACCTCAGAACCAAGGGCCGAACCAGCTGTTTGAGCTTCGAGCATGTCAAGAACCAAAAATTGAAGAAACAAGAACGTAGTTCATGATAAAGTGTGCCCAAAGTTACAAGAATTACTAAGCCAATGAAAAGAAAATGTAGACATAGCAACTCAGGTCAGTCCATTCCTTGAGGGGGTGAAGAACTTTGAGTATCTTCAACTGATAACTCTGTAACATCATCAACAGCATTGGAGACGATGGCCCTTTCAATTCTCTGTGATGCACCATTTATCATCATCTCTTTCTCCAAGTGCGAGCAATAGCTTTCAAAGACTCGAGAACTGACCACAAACCCAAAATCCAAGAGGAAAAGGAATTCCATTTCAAGCCTGTTCAATTCTGCATTGCTCACTCCTCCAACCCGTGCATAGAATGCGTTGTTATAGTGCCTGTAATGTTGCAGTTTACACAACAGACATGATTACATGCTTATCAAATGCTCTCATCATTTTCAAATATTGATCTAATCCATTGAACTTTGTCACAGCCTTTAGTAAATGTAATAAATCTGGTGGTGGAAGTGCCAATACAGGTATAGAAATGATCGGATTCTTCCAACTCTATTTATATAAGCAATTTTTTAAAAAAAAAGAACCGAAAAACTGAGCATTTAAGAGAATTATTATCAATTCAGCTAATATCATTGGTAGTCAATATTATTCAAAAGTTTTTCTTTTTCTTAAAAAAAAAAGAAAAAGAAAAGGAAAGAAAATCGAAGCCTTCGACAATAAACTTCTAATACTTAAATTGTTAAGTTTGTTAAGTCATAAGATAATGTGATTGTTTGATCATGAAAATAGACTCTTAATCATTCTAACAAAAAACGAATTCTTAATTTGAATCTCGAAAATAGTAAAGACGGAATTTAGAAATTAAAAGAAGTTAGTATCAAATCTATCGGGCCTTGATTTCAAGAAAAAAGAAATAAATATAACAAGGAATAAAGCTCAGAGAACAAACACGCACACAAGAACATAGAGAGATGTAGTCGATTGAAAGAGAGAATACTCACACATCATCCAGCATCTTAGAAGCAACCATGACACTTGTAACAAGCAACCTATGTACATTCAGTGAAATCACAAGCGAGTCGGGATGCTTATGTGTCAGCCTGTCTATATAAACATATCCGACCACAAAACACGATGGGCTGCAGCTTGTGTACTTGTAAAGTCTCTCCAAGTACTTTACGATGCTTATGTTAGGAGCCCTCACACCATGGAACACATTCAAGCTCTTCCCAACCCTAGCCAAACCAGAGCTCACCCCGTCTAGCTTCTTATCCATGTCATCCACAAGCTTGTCATTTCTAGCCACTAGCTTCTCTATCACATGAGATAATATGGTTAGGACTCTTGGTGTTGTTGACTCAGACGGGCTCGGCTCTGACTGCCGGCTGAGGTTGCTGGTGAGGTCGCCAGAGCCTAACATTTGAATAGAGTTGTTGGAGCATTTTTGGGGGGTTTATCTAGCCTGTGAGTTGGAGGGCTGTCGACACGTGGACGTTGACGACGGGTCCAGTGCGAGGCGATGGGATTTGATGAAGTAGAAAAGATGGAGGTATCTGAGAAATGAATGGTGGGATGTGGGAATGAAGCTGGTGTGGATTGGGTGGTAGGGTAAAGGGGTCCCCAGGTGAATGACAGAAAAAGAAGATGGACCTTACATGGACAGTAACGATTCATGAAACAAGTGGGTCACCTTGCCTGGCCTTAAACACAAAGCACAAGTAAGTTAGACTGTCACGAGCAAATCCCCTTTGTCTACCTGCAATGACGGCTTACCAGAATCTCGGGCTTCGGAGCTGACGATTCTTTTTTTTTTAAAAAAAAAATTCAGATTCCAAGATTTTTTTTTTAATCATTGTAATTAAGCATGAAAATTAAAAAATATATTGTTTTGAATTTTTTAAATATTATTTTTTCTATCAATATATTTTTTATTTTTCTAAGCCTCCGCAGTTTTTTAAATGAAGAATTGTTTTTGTTTTAAAAAAATCGAAATAATATATAAAAAATACAAAATACAATAAAATTATGTTATAAATCTATCCAGACTTTCTAATAATAAAAAACCAATTCCAATTGATTTTTTTTTTTATAAATAATCTACTGTTATTGTTAATGTTATTATTTTTAAATTAAATATATAATAATTCAAAATTAATTATTAAAATTAAAATTTATAATAGTATTTAAAACTATATAAAAAAAGGTAAATAAATATATGAAATGTTTTATTGTATCTATAGATAATTTTCAAAAGGTAAATAAATATATTAAATGTTTTATTGTATCTATAGATAATTTTTTAGCGAACATTTTCATGTTAAAAACTGTCATATAAGTGTTTTTTTATATCATGTCAACGGAAATTTTAATGATAAACACTGTCAAATAAGCAAGTGGTTTAACCTTGGAGGGATAACTTTTTTTTTATTTGTGATATTAATCCTAAAAAAAGAAATTCATTTTTTCGAGTTCTACCGGATCAACATCTTAATCAAGTTAACTCTTCAAAAATAATTAAATATATTAAGATGCTCCGTAAAAAATACCCTAACTGTTTTAGCATACCCCAATTCTTTTAATGGTGGAGGTTAATTAGCTAGTCAGTTCTACACCAGGAGCTAACTTGAAAAACACCCTTGGCGGGCAAATCACCAAGTCCATTATTTTTATCGAAACATGACATGATTTGAATTAGGTCAATCATGTTATTAAAAATCAGATCAACTAGATTTAATCAATATCAATATCCTATTTAGTTAAATTCAAAACCCAACTTGGATTAGTTTCCAAGTCCTATGATTTTTAAAGTCTAAGAACCATGGATAAAGCAATTCACCTCTACTATCTTTTAGCACATGCATGAATGATAAAACAGGACATCAATTTTAGTCCCATTCTGTCCACTTCCAGCTCATCTGCTCACAAAACACAACCTTATAAAATATTTTGACTCCCCTTCCTGAAATCCAATTTGTTTCGTGTATGGGAGGAGCAAATATCATTTGGGAATTGACAGGTAATTCTGATCCTTCCAAGGCAAATAAGCAATCTTCAGAACACTGTTAGTGCTCAGTCACCCAATGACTCTATCCTACGAGAACTCAGCAGAAATTCATAGACGACAACATTGGTTGTACGAGGAAATGCTGGCTATGTACCGCAGAATCCATGGTGTACCAGAGGGGTTTCCGATTTGAAACCGAGAACTGGAAAGAGTTGCATCATTTTTCTACCAACACCATCAAATAGAAAAGCTATGCGCTATAATGACAAAGTAATTGATGAATGATATATACTCCTAAATTGTGTATCTTTGAATAACCTATTCCTTTTTTTAACAAAAAAATTGAACGATCATATAGACTGAAACTAAGAGTGGAATGGATAAACCTTTTCCAGCAAAAGACGAGGTTGCTGTTTAAAACTGTAGATCATGCTGCTTGCAAGAAGTAAGCAACTAAGCATTTGTTATCTACACATTATGGTTGCTGGGTGCAAGTAATTTATCTTCCTCAGATGAGATCTCCGAAAGTTGAAGATTTGACTTGGAATTCATTTTAGTCCATTCATTTTCGACGCGGAAGAAAACCCATTGGAATCGGCGAATCATCTCTAAGGCAGTGATTGTGAACACTGTAAGGTAATTGTGCCGAAGATGCGCAGACAGTTTGTAAGTCCATGCCAAACGCAGAATGAAATTGCTTCCTATCACCCAAAAATAAACCTGCAACTCCAAATTTATACAGTAAGATGACAGAACAAGAACGACTAGGAAAGATAATGGGAAGACTATGGTGAAAACAAATGGTCACTCAGTTAATATGAGATGTCAATGGGTAAATGGTTGTCTTGTTGCCCATGAATAATTGGATCTAGGTGTTGAACAAACAGGCCAAAAGTATCAGAGACAGTTTAACTAAACCCAGCAAGACAACCATAATCCTAAAATAACTGCTGTGAATAGGAGTGCTGTAGAATTCTTACCCATTTCCGTCCATGCAATAGGTGTGAACAGAGACTCGGTTTGTTAAATTTGAAAATCCGGGTGAAGCAGCTGGCAAAAGAAAAGGAAACTCAATATCAGGCCTATCAGTCAATATTTTTTATGAGGTAAAAAAGCTTAAAAATAAACATGGTTTCAGTAGCAGATCATATTTACAAAATGATGCCAAACAAACAAACGAATTAACATCATTAGTACAGTAAAAACATTTGTAAAAAAATAGAGAAAAAAAATCCATAAGTTAAATAACTGTCCTTCAATTATCCTCTGAAACTACAGTTATAACTCCAATTTCAAAGTCAAGGGTTCATGAAATCCTGTTCTTTTATTAGTAATAGTACAAAAGGCAAGCTGTAGAAAAGGATGTGTCATAGTTCAAAGTTTCTACATGCTGCTTTGAATGCAAAGCAAAGCCAGTAAAATCACTGAGAAGACAAGGAAGCCAACCATTAATACAATTCAAAACACAGAGAAGAAACTGGATCTCTGGGATGTTTTAGAATGTCAGGGTGAGTTGATTCTCAATAAGTGAGACCAACGGTAATGGCATTTTTGAGTAATCTAATTTGAAGATCACTTGCAAGTAACTTTTCAGATTGTAATTGAGAAACAGTACAATAGCAATCATCATACCTCAAGTCCCAATCCCTGGTCACATCCCAGTAGAACGAATATAATGAATTTAAGACACCTGAGAGAAGCCACAGTGGCCTATAGAAGTTCGTCCAACTATCTGGAAGGACATGGTATTTAAGGGCTGAAAGAAAAATCACTGGTACTGCAGTTGAATATTTTAAAGCTGAAACAGCAAGTAAATAAAGTTAATACAGTATTGCACCAAACAACATGCCTTGTATGAAGTCCAAAAGAAGAAGGAAAAAATAATACCATATAGAATTGTTAGCCTGAATACCAAATAATAAACTAGCACATAGATATTGGAGGTTAATGAAAAGAAATTTCAAAGTAAATTCACCATTAAAAAGAGCTGTTTTCTCCTTAGTATCCTTGTACTGTCGAAGACACTGAAATAATCGGAAAATGTAAGGCAAAACTAGAATTATAGGGATCCCAATGGAGTGGCTGCCACAAACAGAGTCAGCTTCAAACCATGCTATGGTGGCAACCTGCACACAAAATATCTTGCAATAAGCCTCATAGATTTGTAGCAAACCAGATTCATACAGGAAGTGTCATTCATAATAACACTGAGAGGATAGAAACTGCTGGAAGTTAAATTTGCTGGTTAGGCTAGGCAGTTCAAATTATTAGCTTGAAATGTGAGCTAAAAGAAATGCACAAAGTCCTGTAAGATTAAAAAAAAAAAAAAAAGTTCCATAAAACCATGAAGACATCATTTTAAATTGAATCTGGTAGCAAACAAGGCTAGGAAAGGAGCAATACACTAACCTGGCGATGGACCATACGACAAACTGAGCGCTCCAGATCTGAGAATACCTGCACAAAGTTGGTATTTATAAGAATATCAAGAAAGTATAGGAATTCAACAAGCATCAAGAAACCATTTCCTCATCTGTCACTCTGAATACAAATATTGGTTACAACTATATCATATTCTCTTCCATATTTCTTTGGAATAATATGACAAAGGAATGTGCAAGCCTGACAAAGTGGATGATGCATTGATGATCACCACGTTTTTTATTCCAGAAAGGGAAAAAATTGAATTCATCAAGTATAATGTGCCTAACACAGATAGCATAGTGCAATCCAATTACACACTTTATCAGCTGGTTCAAAGCTTATTCTCCAGCAATATGGAATCCTTGCACATTGCAGATAAACCCACATTAAATAGAAGGGTTTTAAAAATTGCAATCATCAACCATTTTCAAATGAAGTCCCAAACTCTCTTATCTGGGAATTGACCACAGAAGGCCACATCAACAATAAGAGAAAACAAAGCATACCTTTGACATGGAGGTCAAAATATCAGCTAAGAAGAAGTCAGAAAATGTAATAGCCTGTAACAACAGCAGAGACAAAAAAGGGGTGTAAATATCAAGAATTCAATAAAGACAATTTGAACTGCAGCTGCAATTACACAGTACATTTCTCTCCCAGACCAATGAGTCAATTGTCCAATAGTGCTCGCTCTGGGTTCCTCCAAGAAAGATTATGATGGGTAGGAATTACAGGGCTAATGGAATTCTGGTATAATAAAGTAGTTGCTACAAACTATTAACAAGAATCCATTGAGTTCAGACCAATTAAATTAAAAAAATCAGACAACATTTAGATTTTGTCAATGAGGTACAAGCCACCAAATTATTTGATACTTAGTCATGGAGCTTTTTAAGTCTAGATTTTTATATTAGAAGTCCACTCAAAAGATCAAAAGGTTGATAATTGGCATGAATTAACCGCAACAAGAATTAATGAGACAAGCCCCAAAATTTTTTTTAACTTGCCTGCAAAGGGAAAACTATCCGCCAAAGAGTCCTCAGCAAGTAGTAGCGGGATGACAAGTAAAAAATATCGAAGGGGAATATCAAGATCAAGGCAACAGCACAGTACAAGAAGACCTGTGATAACAGAGTACGTTAATTGATTGTATTTCCATTATAAATACCAGTGGTGATTAAAAAAAGATGAAGATTTAATGCTGACAATGCAGTATAGGATGGAATGACTTTACTTTTCAGTCATATAATCATGATATTCAGAATATTATATTCAAGAATATCATTTTTCTTGTCATCCAAACATTATTTTTTTGTACCAAATTATACTGTATGCTTTACTTTACAATTTCCAATTGAGGTTCAAATTTTGCAGCCCAGTAACTATTTTCCTAGTTCACGTATATAATCTTCAAAAACCAACATGTTTTGCATTATAATTCAGTAAACTCATCTCTTTCTCTATGCATAAGTGATTTCTTCTAGTTTGTTTTTTCAGGAAAGTAACTATTTTACAAGTTCAAATATATAATCTTCACTGTGTTTTGCAATACAATAGAACATGCTAAAACACTCATCCCTTGCTCTATACATAAGTGAATCATGGATAGTTCGGCATGTGATGACATGCAGGAGTAGGAGAGACCACTACCAGAGGACCACACTGATATAGATCTTCTAAACTGACAAACTTTCAATTGTTTATGATACTCGTACTTCCTAATTCCTATAGCAACTTCTCCAACTTGGTGACAAGCTTAAAAGTAATAAGGTCAACACAGATGAAATAGACATCGGGAAACCGATAATCACCTTAATAAATCTATTAAATGAATCTCATATTTTTTCTCAATAATGAATATCATCATCTATTTGAAATTCTAAACTTGTGCACTTAATTATTCATGTAGGAGAAACAGAAATCCTCTTGAAGCATGAACAAATCATTGCAAGGAGTAAGGAAATGAAAAAAGAACCCATAATAAATCACTAAGTGAACAAAAGAAATTGTCAGCAAAATATAAGATCATCTATTACACTGGTTGTGATGCAGCCAATGATACTTCTCCGTGAGAATATAGGTAAAGATATGCTGTCATGCTAATTGGGACAATGATGGTCATCCATGTGGCAACCTGCAATGAACAAAATGGCAAATTAACCTCAAAAGGTGCACATGAAAGCAATAAACATGGACTAGAAAACAAGTTCTGGATAAGAGAAAAGAAAAGGAGATGACAAACTACAAGGAAACAAAATTATCTCATCCTCTAAACAGGACATTTTGCTGCTCAAATATCACATCATGTGGCACAAAAGGCACTTTGATCATGTAGTGCTTGCTGAACATATATCCAATAGGTAACTGGAACCTAAATCACTAATCACAACAGGCTACACATGTTCCAACCTAAGATGTAAAAGATTAGCAATACCAAAAGGAAAAGAAAAAAAAAAAACACAACAAGGGGAAGAATAAGCTATGACAGATCTAATGCATCAGTTTTAAAATACAAACCTTCCATATTTCTCTGTGGGTAAGATGATTTTGGTCCAGATCAAAAATCTTGGCATAGCTGATGGTAGACTGTGCAAAAACCCACAAATTAACTCCCCAAAGCCACACCATCATAGTCTGCAAAACAAAAACCATACAAAAATTTCCTCACTGTAGAAATAACGAGATCAATATATTCTAATGTCAATAAAAAAAAAAGAAGGTAACTAACCACAAGAAGAAGAGGATTGTAATACAAAAATGCTTCGTAAAGAAAAAGGTCCCGCAAATTCACACTCATTCTCATACCAGAACCCCATCCAATCTACAAAATTCAAACATACACCAAAACATGAACTTGTAATCATAGGTAATAAACACCACTCATAAACAAATAGAAGAATATAAGTCTCACCTTGCAGCAAAAAAAACCCCAGAGAAAAAACAACAGTACCTATCCAAAACAATTAACCTCATTTAGCATTTTCAAACACCTCAATATAACAAAAAGAAAACAGATGGCCAAATAAGTAAGAACAGAAACCTTAAATCTCCATAATAATATCGGAGACGGCATTATAGCTGCAGTACTAATCGGTAAGCTAGGAATTTTCAAATCATTTGACTCTGTCGAATGTAACAAACCTTCCATTTCAGTGTTTCCCTGTTCACCATCTAACAAGTATTGCACAATACAATTATTGAATCAACAATCTTTTTTTTCCCCTAAAAAAACACACATTAAACTCAGCATTAATATCTAAAAGAGCATTCCAATAATAATCTTCTATTAATATTATTTCTACCAAGATCAAAGACGACAGGTCGGCTACCAGACTTCCTTAAGTGCGGACTTTTGCTAGGCGGAATCACTTGACCTCCAAACATAGATTTAATTGCTGATACTTTACAAACCTGCAATATATATACACACATACAAACACACAACAAATTTCATCTACTAAAATACAAACTAACAAAAATTAATTAATCCAATAATGCAGTTACTTAGTCATCAAAATCTAATGCTTAGAATTAAGTGAAATTGGATCTTAATTAATTTTTTAGTAAATATCAATACAAATAAGTATAAAAATAAGGGCAAAAAGTGAAATTATATATAGAAACTGAAATAATAAATAAATGAAGGTTAAGAAATCAACATTGCAGAATTTCATAGAGAAAACAAGATGAATTAATTAATTAGTTAAGAAGTTAATTCACTGAAGCAGACGCTGTAAGTCATTGAAGCTTAAGTTAAAATTAGAGTCAGAAATCGGATCTAAAATTAAAATAGAAAAGAAAAGGAAAATTTACTAACCTGGATTGTGTGATTAACAGTAACGGTAAGATTAAAGTGAAAATTTTGGATCGCGAGAATTTCACAGAGATACAGAGAGGGAGAGAGAGTTGATTAATTGATTAAAAATGTGATTAGAGGGAAAGATTTACTGAGAAACTTGAGAATAAGGTGGAGACTTGGATCTAAACTCAATTAGAGAAGGAAAAAATGGAGATCCAGAGATCGACTTACAGAGGAAGATAGTGATTATTGTTAATCAGATTGATGTTGGATTTGATCTTTGTGATTATGGAGATCGACGGGATGGGAAGAAATGCATTTATTTTGTTTTGTCTGTTTGGAGGGATTTTTTAGCGTACAAAACGAAGATGTTTTCTTCTAGGAAAGAATTTATTGTCATAATTGTTGGGAGAAAGCTTGTTCGGCTTAGGGTCATTATAAAGAACAGAAATAACGAGAACGTTTCAATTTGTGGTAGTGATGATTTTTAAATTGTTTTTTAATTATAAATATATAAAAATAATATTTTTATTTTTATTTTTATTTTTATCACTACATCAAAAAATTTTAAAAATTTTAATTTAAAATAAAAAATTAATGTATTTCAATTAAAAAGCATTTAAAAAAAATATTTGTATCATATTATCAAATACATATTTAACCTTGCTCAATTTAATTGATTGGTTTGAGAGATTTAGGATATAAAATCTAACCCGAAACCAATTAAATTCAGTTGACTCAATTGGATTTTTAAAAATTTAATTGATTCCAACAAAACTTGGTTCTAATCTAATTTTGGTCAATAACTTACCAAATAAATAATAAAATATTGTTATTTTAATAAAAATAATTTATCCAAATTAACTTGATGACTCAATAATATATATATATTAATGCATTTCAATTAAAAACATTTTTAAAAAAATATCACATTATCAAATACATATTTAACCTTACTCAATTTAATTGATTGGTTTGAGAGATTTAGGATATAAAATCTAACCCGAAACCAATTAAATTCAGTTGACTCAATTGGATTTTTAAAAATTTAATTGATTCCAACAAAACTTGGTTCTAATCTAATTTTGGTCAATAACTTACCAAATAAATAATAAAATATTGTTATTTTAATAAAAATAATTTATCCAAATTAACTTGATGACTCAATAATATATATATATTTGCTCAATTTGAGTCCAATAGTTATTATTCATTACCCAAGCAAAGTTTACATTAAGGATTTGTTTTTGATATGTTGAATAAATAAATATTTTAAGTTTTTCTTAGATCTTTAAGTTCTTGGTACATAATATTCATCAATCCTCTAATTTTGAGAGAAAAACAGAGCATGCTAATATTTCATCATCGCCATGTTTAAGTTTTGTCCAAATTCTACTATATTAATATTAGCATTATATAAGATTAGGTTGGATAAGAGTTTTTGTTTTTGCTCAATTTGAGTCCGATAATTATTATTCATTACCCGAGCAAAGTTTACATTAAGGATTTGTTTTTGATATGTTGAATAAATAGATATTTTATTTTTTTCTTAGATCTTTAAGTTCTTGGTACATAATATTCATCAATCCTCTAATTTTGAGAGAAAAACAGAGCATGCTAATATTTCATCATCGCCATGTTTAAGTTTTGTCCAAATTCTACTATATTAATATTAGCATTATATAAGATTAGGTTGGATAAGAGCACCAAAATGTTCAACTTTTTTAAAAAAAAACTCTTTTAAAAGAAAATTAATTAATTTTTATTATTTACTGGTTGAACTAGACAAAACAATGAATCAAAAAAAATTAATTCTTCATAAATCAAGAAATTGTAAACTTAAATTCAAACTCAGATTAAATTGAAAAAAAATAATTTTTATAACCTAAACATTTATTTTATAATAAACTTAAACTCATATTTATGCTCATGTCTAAAGCCCGAGCTCGAAGCATATATAGGCTTAAGCTTTAATTTTACTTTGTTTATTCTTTATTCCCTTTAAAAACTTTATGGTCTAACTTTTTACATTTTATACTCTAGATGGTTTTGAATTTTTTTAAAAATTTATTAACTAAAATTTATTTATAATTATTTTATTTATTTATAATTTATTTAAATCATATTAATATTCTATGTTAAAAAGTTAAAGATTAAATTATTTTAGAATATTAGTTTAAAAAATAAACAGCTCAGTGTCAAAGTATATATAGTTTTAAGCTTTAATTTTACTTTATTTATTCTTTATTCCCTTTAAAAACTTGATGGTCTAACTTTTCACATTCCCACAAAATAAATTTATACTCTAGATGGTTTTCAATAATATATTAACTAAAAATTATTTAAAATTATTTTTTATTTTTTTATAATTTATTTAAATCATATTAATATTCTATGTTAAAAAATTAAAGATTAAATTATTTTAGAATATTAGTTTAAAAAATAAACAGCTCAACTTTTAACTTGGGCATTAAACAAACTATTAAAAACACTAGCATATAAGAATTTAATTATTAAACCGTATAAAAAAAAAAAGCTCGACCATAAGACTTGAGATTTTAATCCGCGTCGATGGAGGATTATTCTCATTGTGTATTTTAAGAGTTTGGTAAGCTTCTCTTAAAAAACAAACACATCATTATCACTCCGCCATGTTTGGCTGTGTTCGCAAAACATGGGAGCCAATCACGCCGCTCTCAACTCATCCTGCTACGCAAAGCAAAAACATTTTTCTGTAGCGAAACAACTTTCGTCACAAGCTACGCTGCTTTACGTGAAAAGTACCCACAAAATCTATGGATATTTTTACCTGCTTCCCGCCACGTTCTAAGGACTGTTTGGTATCGCTTGAGTGTTTTATTTTCTGGTTTTCCATTTTTTTAAAAATGATTTGGATACCACATGGTTCCTAAATTTTTCACGAGTTATTATATTTTATTTTTATTTTCTTGGGTGCCTTTTTTTGGCAAACACTTGTCGCTATTGAAAATGAAAAATTGAGTTGATACATATTTTGTATTTTATACTATAGGATTAGGTTCTTATAATATAGTTTATAACAGGCTAGGGCTGGCTTAAATGCAAAGAGGATTCTCAATTTATCATGTATTTTATACTATAGGATTAGGTTCTTATATATATATATATAGACAGTTATAGGATGATACATCTCCTCCGTCTATATGTGATAACAATGGCAAGAAATCTACCAAATATCTGTCAAGAAACCTACCAAATATATACATACGATAAATTTTTACGTATATACCTGATATGGTATCCTATTTATCCCATGCAATATTTGTAAAAATGCTCATTCAGTGCACCCTATGCCTATAAATACACATTCAAATATCCTTTCGAGGAATGCCTTTCAATTTCATAAGAGAAAATGCTGAAGCAGTCGGCGATCTTTCTCACCGTTCTAATCCTCTCAAGGGCTCATGAAGCGAGAGAGTCTAGAACCAGCATGGACCCTCCTCGTTTAGTTCCTTTAGACTTTCTTCATGTCTCAGAAGCTGATCCTTTAAAATATCCTCCATCTGGACCTAACCCTGGTCCCCCTCATCTACCCTCTTTAGACTCGCTTCGAGTCTCAGCAGCAGCTGATCCTTTGAAATACCCTCCATCTGGACCTAACCCTGGTCCTCCTCATCTAGCCTCTTTAGACTCGTTTAGAGTCTCAGAAGCTGACCCTTTGAAATACCCTCCATCTGGACCTAACCCTGGTCCTCCCCATGCTCTTCATTGAAACGGGTCAATAAGTGGTGGTATAGGTAGGGTCTCTTCCACCTGACCCTATTGGTTTCAGCTCCCTTTATGTTATAAATAAATAAATAAATAAAATCAGGTTCAAATCATCCCTATTATTCGAAAGAACATTGTTATATCGTTCTTGGGCTGGGTTGCTGAATGTTACTCCTGCATGCATGTTTATATTTCTGACAAGTAATTAAAAAGAACAAGGAAGAGCTCAAATTTTGTTCAGATTAATCAATTATTTACACAAAAGAGGTTATATGACTCCGTTTTTAATTTCTCCTCCTTCTCTAATCTGTCTTCCACTACCTTTCTTCTCTTTGCCTCTTGAATAAACCAATCAAAATCATAGAAAGAAGACTCACATATTAAATTAGTATATATATTCAATCTAAACTTTAAAGACCATATTGCAAAGAAAAGGAAATTTAATAAATCAAGAACTCACCACCACAAGTACACTTGAAAGGATGATACATCTCTTCCGTCTATATATGATAACAAAGGCAAGAAATCTACCAAATATCTGTTAAGAAACCTACCAAATATATATATATACGATAAAATTTTACATCTATACCTGATATGGTATCCTATTTATCCCATGCAATATTTGTAAAAATGCTCATTCAGTGCACCCTATGCCTATAAATACACATTCAAATATCCTTTCGAGGAATGCCTTTCAATTTCATAAGAGAAAATGCTGAAGCAGTCGGCGATCTTTCTCACCGTTCTAATCCTCTCAAGGGCTCATGAAGCGAGAGAGTCTAGAACCAGCATGGACCCTCCTCGTTTAGTTCCTTTAGACTTTCTTCATGTCTCAGAAGCTGATCCTTTAAAATATCCTCCATCTGGACCAAACCCTGGTCCCCCTCATCTACCCTCTTTAGACTCGCTTCGAGTCTCAGCAGCAGCTGATCCTTTGAAATACCCTCCATCTGGACCTAACCCTGGTCCTCCTCATCTAGCCTCTTTAGACTCGTTTAGAGTCTCAGAAGCTGACCCTTTGAAATACCCTCCATCTGGACCTAACCCTGGTCCTCCCCATGCTCTTCATTGAAACGGGTCAATAAATGGTGGTATAGGTCGGGTCTCTTCCACCTGACCCTATTGGTTTCAGCTCCCTTTATGTTATAAACAAATAAATAAATAAAATCAGGTTCAAATCATCCCTGTTATTCGAAAGAACATTGTTATATCGTTCTTGGGCTGGGTTGCTGAATGTTACTCCTGCATGCATGTTTATATTTCTGACAAGTAATTAAAAAGAACAAGGAAGAGCTCAAATTTTGTTCAGATTAATCAATTATTTACACAAAAGAGGTTATATGACTCCCTTTTTAATTTCTCCTCCTTCTCTAATTTGTCTTCCACTACCTTTCTTCTCTTTGCCTCTTGAATAAACCAATCAAAATCATAGAAAGAAGACTCACATATTAAATTAGTATGTATTTCCAATCCGAACTCTAAGACCATATTGTAAAGAAAAAGAAATTTAATAAATTAAGAAAATCAAGAACTCACCACCACAACACTCGAAAGCCTATCCTTCAATTTTCGAACCAATGTTGCAAAGCACACTGCATAACTAGCAGGGATCAGAGCAAAAGCCATGAAAGGGCACAAGATGATTGTGTGATATTGTTCTATAAAAATTGTTGGCTATAGAAGGATTAATATAAAGGACTATCATTTCAGTTAATGATATCAATTAAATGAATTATTTTTTAGAATTATATTAAATGACTTTACATGAATTTGAATTTTTGTATTTGTTTTTTTCTCTCCATCACGGTTATGATAAAACAAAATGAAAAAGCAAGGTATCATCCATATACTAGATTTTTCTCCCTTTATTTATTTATTATTTGAAGATTAAGAAAACTTTCTATCAAAATTATAGCTTTCAAATTTAATTTTACAACAATTTTTTTTTTTAAAAAATTTGTGTGTTTGGGAGTGTGATTGTGGTTATTTTTTAAAATATTTTTCACTTAAAAAATATGTTAATAATATTTTTATTATTTTTTAAAAATTATTTTTAAGATTATAACATTAAAATAATTTAAAAATATAAAAATATATCAATAAAAGTTTTTAAAATCACTTTTCAAATACATTGCCAAATATCATACTAAATCAACTCTTAAATCATTGTATCAATTATTTTTGTTTTTACTAAAAAACTTACTATGACTATCTTATACTTTAGTTGTTTTTAAACTCACTTTCATGTTTTTAAAAGTTGCAATTTATATTCTAAAACTTTGTTATGCCATTGCAATTTATATTCTAAATTATTTTATAACTTAATTTATTTTACATTCACTAAGAATATAAACAATAAATTTTTTTAAAATATTGTAAATACAAGTAAACTATAAAATGATAAGAATAATTTTTTATTATTTATTTTTAACTTGATTGAGTCAAGAATTAATAAAAATTGAAGGAATAAAAACTCGATCAAATCAAGAATCCGGTTTAATAACCATTACTAGAGCTCGAAATTTGGAACCCAGCCAAAAAGCCGAGGGAGGAAGCCACAATTTCCACGGCACCAGAAGTCTCAAATCACAACATCAAAAGCTCATCACCCGTAACGCCACCTGTCCAGGGTGCACCAATGATCTCGAGATATAGATTTACGTAGTCGTCTTCTCCCACCCCCAAAACAACTCGCCAATATCTCGCGGGCTGACTTGTCAATCACTTGGTGACCCATTTTTTTACCAAACCCACCCCCATTCTCCCACTTATTTACAATATCTCGCCATTCCAATCCTGGACCCCGCTTAACAAGCCTGACCATACCAAAATTATCCCTCTCCTAATTAATCGTGTACATGTCAGCATAGAATCATCTCTCTAAGCCCACATTCTGACACGTGTCGAACACCCACTAATCCTAGGCAAAACGTGAATAAAATAACATGCATACCTACCTGCTGTCTTGTCTCATAACATGTCACAAAGCAAGTAGCAATGTGGTTAGCTAGTGTTCTTCTTTGATCATCTTCTCTTCTCTATTAGTTTTTTTTTTGTTCATCATTAATCACCTTTTTTTTTCTTCGTTGATGGATTGATTTAATTAATCTAGTGGCGGAAATTCTGCAGGTTTTTTATTGGTGAGTGCCTTTCTTTCACACCATATTCATTGTTGTTGTTGCATGATTATAATAATGTTAATTTAGTTTCTGATAATGACATTAGATTAGTCTTAATGACTGTTCATTTGGAACTTGGCGACCAATTATTTTTTTTGTTTTGGATGCTCTTGCTTGTTGTTTTGAGAAATGGTGAAAGAATAGGGAACCTGTCATCTATGGTTTCAGGGTTGAAACAAAAAAAGCCGAATTTCAGCCACAAGTTTCAGTGTTAGGTTGTGTAGTTGGAGAATAATTGTTGGTAATTAGTTTGCAGGAGAAGAGGAAGGGAGCATGGAATCTGTATGTGATTTTTGTGGAGTGGAAAAGGCAGTAGTTTATTGTAAACCAGACTCCGCAAAGCTGTGCGTGCACTGTGATGGATCCGTGCATTCGGCTAACTTTTTGTCGCGGAGGCATCGGCGTTCTCTGCTATGTGATAAGTGCAGTTCACTGCCTGCAGTGGCGCGGTGCTTAGATGAAAAGTTGTCTGTTTGTCAAGGATGTGATTGCAGTGCAAATGGATGTTCAAGCTTGGGGCATCAGCTTCGGGCGCTGAATTGTTATACAGGGTGTTATTCCTTGGCTGAGTTTTCGAAGATTTGGTCGTCGGTTCTTGAGGGATCTTCTTCAGGAGGCTTTGATTCAGGATGGGATTCACTCAATTCTGCGCCAATAAATGAGAATTGCACTAGTAGCTGCTTGGAACAAAGGGATAATGAGGGGTCATTCGGCTTGTTTACTGGAAAGTTGAATGTACTAGAATCTTGTTCCAAGCTTGAGCCTTGGAGGGGGCCGCCGAGCATCATCATGCCAAATCCAAATTACATTCCTTGTTGTAGAGATCAGGTGCCTATGTTTCCAGAAGTGACAAATCTGCCAAAGGTAATGTTTCATACCGACAATTTTCGCTGATTGGAACTGCATCATAGATGGTTTTATCACGGCTATTTTTTCTATTATACTAGCCCTTTTCACTAGGTTTTGTAGCTGCTTAATTCTAAGGAAAAGCTAGTTAAATCTAATACAGATCTTTTCAATTCTGCAGCAGGGTTGCTCCATCTTTAAGGATATTGGACTTCCGGATGGTGAAGATCTCTGCGAAGGTCTCAACTTGGACGATATACCACTGGACTTTGAAAACAGTAACGAAATATTTAGTTGTTCAGAAAGTCAAAGCAAATATCAGTTTGGGGATGCAGGAAAAGATTGCATGTTAATGGAGAAAAACTTATCATCAGTTACCGGGTCTAATGGCCCTATCGAGAATGCTATAGAGGTTTTTTCTCTATAATTTTCTTCTACAGCTATCTTTAGTTATACGTCTGTTAGTCCAATCGCACGACTAATCTAAGGTAGTCAGATATCGTTAATTTGCAGCATCATGCGACTACTTGTATTGAAACCAAACCATCGTTGCTGACTGCTACCTTTGTGCTTGCTTTTTTAGGTGTCATCATCGGGACAACTGGAATGTGTTGCTTTCCAATCATCTTGTGTTTCTGGGCCAGCTAGCGCAATGCAGACCGTAAGTGGTAATGCTAATTGCAGCATATTTACGAATCCCAGTTGCAGCAGAAACCTGAATCTAGGATTCCCTGCTGTTTCTGGACAAGTTCGTTCAAGCATGTCTCTTCCACTATCCAACATAATTGGTGAAAGTAGTGCAGCTGATTATCAAGATTGCGGATTATCACCACTATTTCTGACTGGTGAATCACCATGGGAATCGCATTTGGATGCTAGCTCGCCACAGGCAAGAGACAAGGCTAAGATGAGATACAATGAAAAGAAGAAGACGCGAACGTATGTGCTTGAACTCCTGCTTCACAATTTTTTGTGGTGTTTACTATAAAAAAATCTGACCACTTTCAACTCTAAGAGATTTCACTCAATTGTGATGTTTTTGCAGTTTCAGCAAGCAAATCAGATATGCCTCTCGTAAAGCCAGGGCTGATACTCGAAAACGAGTAAAAGGTAGATTTGTTAAAGCTGGGGAAGCATATGATTATGATCCTCTTCTGTCAAGCAACTTCTGAGCCAGATTACCGAATCTTTTATCCCTTTCCTTACAAGAGAATACTGAGAAGTAAATAACAAGGTAATGAACTCTCCACTTGCTTAATGTTCATGCATAATTTTCCATGTATGCTATCTGTTTTCCTTCTGGTTTCCAATCAAGCTGATTTATTTTTTGAATGCAATGGCAGATCTTTAGCACTAGTATACCCCTGGATTGTTTGAGTTGGAAAAGCTGATCACATTTCTTGGCAGCAAGTGAACTGCTTCAACCATCATTTTTCTCAAAGATTCTTCTACTGGAGATCCTCTCTAGCCTGTCGCCACCACCTCCACCATCTTGCCGTAGGGCAACACCCTTATCGGCAGTCAATTTTGGCCGTTGTAGATGCATATTATCTCCTAGTTTCTCTATTCAATGTAATGAATTTTGATCCAATTATATATAGTTGTTAGGTTCAAATAAAACCTGAACCTCAATTTATCAGAATAATAAATGTCAATTTCTACTTATTTTGTTGCTCGTGTATTTAATTTGCTGCACATTTGCAGCCCCTAGCTTAAAACACCTTGCTATCTTATTTGTTCATATCGAGAACTCTACAAGAAAGTACCTGCTATGGGATGGTTCTTACCATTGTTAGACTCAAGCCATGACTAAAATGATATGAAAGCAAAGATGAATAAAGCAAGCCTGGTGTATGAAGTCCTTGATAAATCGTATCTATCTTCCTTGGGAAGACAAGTTTTCATGCTTTACGGGCTGCAATGTGGACCTTTCTTAGACACTAGCTAGTAGCTACAACATTATCTTGACTCTTGGACCACTGCCTAGACAACATAGGATGGTGCTCTCTGTGCTGACATAGCTACCATTCATCATCTATCCTTTGTGATGTAATGCCATTTCTTGTCGATAGTGCTGCTATTAACATCGGGTAGAATATGTTGCTTCTGCTTAATGCATTTTGCAACTTGGAATTTTCAAGGAAAATGCCACTTGAATCATTGTGAACAGTTCATTCTTTGTTGTCATGTCTGCTTCTCTTGCTTGAATCAATGGTCGAGACCATTCCTCTCCAAACCAACAAAAATGGAAGGTGTTTCAGCATCTTCATTACCACAAATAATTATAAAATTGCGGTTGATATTTTCCTTTATAAAAAATCTGAGGAAAATTAGATTACTACTGTAATGAAAATTTTGCAGGTAATTACGCAAATCACTTGCATATGACCATCTTCATAGCTTCATCTTTATTATTCTGAAAGGTCAATCTTTTTACACAGTTCGCTACATGAGAGATTTTCCCTTACCTTTTGATCTAAATGATTACACACTATTTATAACTAAAAAGAAAAGTACACACCAAGAAACATTACTTTGGACAAAATAGAGGTGATAGACTTGGAAAATTTCCACAGAAAAAAAATACATTTTCTGATTTAATTTGATCTCTTTCAGCGGATTTCATGGAGACAATGATTCCAGGGTATCCTCTATTTCATCATCCATTTTTCTGTCTGTGTTTTTCTCCTCTCTTCTTTTTCCAGGAATCCAAGCAGCTGCTATGGTCTCTGAATTTTCTTGGATATATATGGTGGTGCATATAACAGAAATATTGACTGATCTATTTTATCACCCACTTGCAACAATTCTCATATGCGCCCAAAACCCTTCAAGTCACAGTTTTGTGTTCTCTCCATCAATAAATCTCAAGGGAAAAAAATTCCTCGAACAGCACCAGAAAACTTCAAAAAAAGGGAAGACAAAAGGGACAGAAAAGGTGAAAAAGAGAAGCAAAATCAAAGAAACAAAAAGGGCATTTTAAGCGATCCAGAGCTCTTCTTTTCAACATTAGAATTGCACTGCCTTCTTTCTCTCCAACTCACAATAGTTGGAAGCAACACCTCAGTTGAAGCCCCTATGAGATATCTTTGTGTAAGATTTTGGCATGTGTTGCATAGCATGCATCTAACATGCCTTAGAGCCAGGAAATTTGCTCCATGCACCCATTTGTCACATTTTTGACATAAAAATGCATCATCTGCTTGACAATATAATGATGCCCTTGATCCACACAGCTCACAACAAACCAATCTTGAGGTTGCCTTAGAAGAAACCACCTCTTCGCCACAAGAACCGCCTTGGTTATTTCTCTCCTGATGAATACCCTTACACATTTTCAGAATCTCTCTCAAAATGGAATGGACAAAAAGCAAGATGGAAGAGGGCCATTTATATAGTAATAATGTTCACCTTCATTTCCATGGAAGCGAAATGGTGTCCTAGAATTTTAGCATATGACATCAATGCCACTACTCGACAAAATGGTCACCATTTTTCTCTTTCTCAATGTCCTATCCTTCCCATCAGAAGTTTCTGTCACCTTTACGCCTTGCTCAGAAACTTGTGGTTGAGAAAAATAGTCCGAGAAGAGAAACTTGAGGTGGGTTCGATTCAATGCACCAAAGGGTCTATTTTTGTGATAAAAAACTAGAGAAAATTATGACTCCACTAGAAATGATTGAAACTGAAAAGAGTCCTAAACAAGATTAAGTTACAAGCTTTATGAGATGCTTGAAGCCAATTTATGAACCATGATCCTTGTTGTTGAGTGGTTACCGGGTCCATTTCTTGTTACTAAAGAAGGTTTTTTTTTAGATTAACATGAGTGTACGGGCAGCTTGCGCGCATCACGACTAATCCCACGGGCCCTGAAGTTAACAACCATGTAAGCCTCCAGTGACCATTATATAAGCAACCAAATACTCAAACCTAAAATCACATAAAGAACAAATTTTTTAGTCCTAAATTTTTATCATTTGGCCACCACTTGCATGGCCAGGAATTAAAGCCTCCAGGTGGGAACCTACCATCATACATGCAAGTTCCTTGCATGTACAGAGGGCTCAAATTGATTTGTCTAGTTTTACTCTTGGGTCGACGGGGCATTTGGTCCTTCTACTAAGTTTTATCTTAGTTTGGTCCCTTACTTCCACTTATCTTGATGTGTCAATCTTCAGCTCTTTGCTTGTAGTTATTTGGTCCTTCTATCATTGACAACGTTAAATCACACCATTAAAAGCAACCACGACGTAAACTCTGATATTTGAGTTTCAAATGCATTTTATAAGACACAAACGTACGACCAATACATAAACTCGTAGCATCTGTTTGTGCCACAACCATGACTAAAACAACGATTTAAATCCATACAGAACGGTATGATTTAATGCGAGATGAAACTAAAGCAAAACAAAGAGTAAGTAGGACAGACGTAAACTCGCAGCATCTACTCTGATATTTGAGTTTCAAATACATTTTATAAGACACAAACGTACGACCAATACATAAACTCGTAGCATCTGTTTGTGCCACAACCATGACTAAAACAACGATTTAAATCCATACAGAACGGTATGATTTAATGCGAGATGAAACTAAAGCAAAACAAAGAGTAAGTAGGACAACATTAAGACACATAAAAGTAAAGAGACTTAACTGATACAAAATTGAGAATGGAGGGACCAAATCAACCCCCTTAAACCTGTACCATTTATTTTCAGACCATAAATCACTGCTAGTGTACGTGCAGAGCTGTGACTGGATCGGATGTCCATGTCCACAATTTTGTTGAAGGGTTCAGGTATTTGTCCAATTGACTGGTTGAAACGTGAAAGCTTCAAGTTCTTATTTACGCCATCCAAACTCCAAAATCGAAGAAATGGAGAAAATGGAAAACTACTTATATTTGGCACATTCAAATATTTTTTTGTTATTATTTTATGAAAAAAAAACCCTAATATTTTTGGTTAAAAATAAAAAACAACTTAATTAGTGAAATTTTGAATTTATTTCTTAATAATTAAAAATTTCATTTTTTTTAAAATTATTAGAGATTTATATGTAAATTAATTTAAAGATTTATATTAATAAAAAAATAATGTTTAATTATTTTAAAATAAAAAATATATCTTTTTCTCCCTAATATTGTTGGTTAAAAATAAAAAACAACTTAACCAGTAAAATTTTGAATTCATTTCTTAATAATTAAAATTTTAAATTTTTTTAGAATTATTAAATATTTATATTTTCATCAATTTTAAAATTTGTAAAGTTAATCGAGATATATGTAAATTGATTTGAATATTTATATTAATAAAAAAATAATTTTTTAATTATTTTAAAATAAAAAATATATCTTTTTATATTCACCATCCTCTGTTTTTCTTATTTCGAAAAATTAATCAAATAAAACAAAAACATTTTTTATTTTTATAGTGGCCAACAACAAATCCAAACCCAGACCCCTGCTTAAGGTTGTGCCACAAATGTTTTTTGTGATTATGAGGATGCCAAGATAGTATGATTAAAATATGTTATCTAACCGACCTTAAAGCAAGAAAATAGAACGTTAACGTGTCATGTGCTCCAAGATGGGAACTTCTTCAAGGTTTTCACATCAAGCTTTCTCTGGTCTTCCATGGAGTCCTACTTGCTAGATGCTGTTCTTGTTGTATGCTTGTGTTTTTTCCTTGTCCATTAATCTTAAATAAACCCAACCCATCACTCGTTTTGTGGCTGGTAATTACTCACTTGAATTATTTAAACTTATTTAACAAAATTCCTAATCACCTAGAAAAAGAATTAATCTGCTTGCGTAGGAGAGTTGATAGGGAATGAAGGAGAGGGTGACCTCTCATTGATGTGGATTAATACCTAAACATATATTTTTCACTCCCCATCTCTTATAGTAGGCGAGCATTAGTTTTCATGTCTACGTCATCCTGATGGGGATTTAAATTATTTTAAACATAAAAAAATATGTATAGATCTTGGCAAAATATTTTTTTATCTATATATCTCTTATTTATTTTAGCAATATGATGTTTTTAACTAGAATAATTGTTTTTGTTTTTTTAAAATATATATTGATTGCTAAAGTAATTTAAATAAAACACATTAAAATAGTATATTTATGTTTATGTGATTGAAAACTAAAAAAATCATAAATATAATAAAATCATGTTAAAAATAAATTTAAATTTTAATAATAAAAAATCAATTTCAATTGAATTTCCATTAAAAATTTACTATTACTACTATTATTAGATCAACTACATAATAAGAAAATATTTTTTATTAAAATTTAAATAAAAATTTATAATAAAAATAATTAAAAATCATGTCAAAACTAAAGAATAAATAAATATGATAATTTCTTTTTTGAAGTGTAAATAAAAAAACCGAAGAAGAAGAAGAAAAAGCTAGCAAAAACTAGGCCCATGACTAGCCCATCATTAACAGGGCAGCTGAGCCCGCATGTCTAACCTGTATTTTTTATTAAAAAAGAAAAAGACATGTCGTCGATCCTAGAAGCTAGACTCCTCGACGGTTCCTGCATTTCGTTGTTTTTCTAGAAGATGCCATGATGGTATCATATCAAGGAAGCACGTAGATACTACAGGCTCAGCAAGTAATATTGTTATTCACCGCTTAAAAAAAAATAAACAGAAAAGAAAAGAAATTATTGAAAAACATGTCCCAACACTAAACATAAATGTATTTTTTTACTAGAAAATAAATTTTTATTTTAAAATAAATTTTAAATAAATAAATTTCAAGAATGTAAATTATTTTCTGAGATTGGCTACTATAATATTGTTATTCACCACTCGAAAAAAAAAAAAACGGAAAAGAAAAGAAATTATTGAAAAACATGTTCCAACACTAAACATAAATGTATTTGTTTACTAGAAAGGAAATTTTTATTTTAAAGTGAATTTTGAGAAAATAAATTTTAATAATATGAATTATTTTTTGATATTAGTTAATGTAATGAAAAATAAATTAGAAAGTATTTTCCAGTGTTTTGATGAGTTATGAAAAATAAGTTGAAAAATAATTTATTAATTTTTTATTTTTTTTATTTTATTAAAATAATAAAGAATAAATCTTATAAATTAAAGGGTTCAATGAGAATAAAATTAAAATATATATATAATTTCATAAATTATCTCAAGTAAAATAAATAATAATCAAAATAATAAATATCAAATCTAACAAATAAAAAATTAAAAGATAAAAAAATTAAAATAATAATAATTATCATTTCATAAATTATTTCAAATAAAATAAGTAACAATCAAAAGAATAAGAAAAAAATTTGATAGAAAAAATTTTTTTAATTAAAAAATAATAAGAGAAAAGCAAATAACAATTAAAAAAATGAAAATCAAAGTTAATATAAAAATTAAATTTTAAAGGATTAAATTGAAAAAAAATATTCAAAAAACATATATACAACAATCAAAAGTTTAAATATCAAATTTAATAAAATCAACAAATAATATGATATTTTTAAATTTTTCATAATTTTCAGAAAGTGTTTTCTGTCCAAAATAAAAAAAATTAAATTTTTCTTTGATTAAAAAGTATTTTTTAATAACAAATAAATTTAAAAAAAATTAAAAATTAATTTTTAAAAAATCTCTTTTCATCAGACAAATAATATTATAGCCTAGTTTGAAAATGTCAATGTTAATATAACTCTTTAAGTAAATTAATTAGCAAGGAGATCATTAGTTGAAGCTTGCGCTGTCTTCAAATTACTATCAGGTATATTACAAGGCTTTCGAGTGACAGTGTAGGTTGTCGGGTATATGCTCTCAGCTGCAATATTAGCTATGAGATATATTCATTATTTTCGTTGTTATCACTGCCACCACCTCCTCCTCCTCCTCCTCTGGTCAAAACCACCTCAACACCACTGAAACAAAAGATTCAACCAGTAATGATGGTAATATTTTGGCCCTGATCCTATATGAAATTTTGCAGCAACTTGCTTTACTAATCATATTTGATGTGGTTATGTCACAGCAATTTATTAAGGTTTATGTTGTGGCTGTGCACAAAAGTTTGTTAAGGAAATAGGAACGGATGATGTGCACAAAATGAAATTTTGAAGTGCATCCACATAGGGTTGTTATGTGTTCTAGAAACTGCCGCTGACTGACCTTCAATGTCACTGATTGTCATGATGCTCAATGGTTCCACTATAACCTCTCCAGCGCCATCGCAGCCTGGTTTTTATGTGTCAATGGAAAATTCTGGACCAGTTTCAGGGACAGAAGATTCTGGTTCAACTCAGTAGCCATTTTCATCACAACAATCTATAAATGGGGTTTCGATCACTGAATTAGATCCTCGCTAGTGGTGTGAAATTGCTATGTGGAGAAATTGCCAGTTCAGCAATTGGGTTCCCACGAATGGAATAGAGGTTATGTTTCTGTTAGTTAACAGAAGAAAATAGTGAATTCATGCTCCTACGAGGTGATATTTATATGGTAAATAGTTTTGATTGGTTTCACTGTCTTAAGCAAGTTGTAGACAGCATTTCTGGTGTCCTACAGATGAATTGTATTTGCTATAATAAAAGTGATTTCCATAACCTTGTCTTACTAACAGTGCTTGATTAACATGCATAAAATGTTATCAGAACCAAGGACAAATTTTGCAGAATTTTCCAGTTTCAGAACCCGGAGAAATATATGAAATAAGCAAGAAAATGCTGCATATATATAACAAGTCGAATGACCTGTCTTCAGATTTTCATAAGCAGGGTTACTTAGTGAAAAGTAATCTGTAGACATTAAATCTTTCTAGTCTTTTGATTTTGAGATTCCATGTATGTTTTCCTCTTCTTACAATTGTATTCGTTTTGAAAATTCAGTCTCTGGAATAGCCCAGACAGATGGACTTGGCCAAATTGAAACTGCTACACCTGAAACATTTTACCGAGGTAGATTTCGAAGTGATGGCCAGATAAATTCTTTTCCCACGAACTCCTCACTTAGCCAACCATATGATGGGTTGCGTTTCCAAAAAGTCCCTGACGAGAATTGTCCACCTGCTTCACATTTAGATGCTCCTTGTAATCAACATATTATCACCAGTTCTAAGTGGTAGAAAGGTCAATCCTCAACTCATCATGATTTAGATCAAATGGAATGTATGACAATCTTCCTGTCCATGTTTATATTCTGATATAAATGAAAACAAACTGAGCCCCGCTTCTGCGATGCTGATTTCAGACATTAGAGTACGAAAACATGAACTTGGTGTAGTTTCATTTTTGAAATAATTTTTGGAATTTCTTTCATTATTCATCGTTGAGGTTTCAAAATGGCTCTTTGTTATGTCATTAATGAATGTATCTGATAATTCTGATGATTTATTGATTCTTTGCATGTCTTTTTTGAGTTGGTGAATCCTTGTATGCTGACAACTTCCTCTCTTCTCATTGCCCTCTTCTGATGATTTAAGTTGGTTGGAATGCTTGATTCAGAGGGACATTTACTGCCAGCCAAAGTTTCCAGCCCCTGATTTTGATACAAGGATATGCCATAACATGAACAAGAGAGTGACATGACTACAGAGGAGAGTCAAAGTTTTGATAGTAATTTACATGGTGCCAAAGTGTTCTTTCTGTTAATATGTTACTTCCAGAAACTTGGTGAGTTTTAAATCGAATTTCGTACACAGTATGTCCCATTTTTTAGTACGTTATCGAGATTTGCTTCTCTTGTCTTAGCTTCCTGATGTTCCATCTTTGGTTAAAGCCCATGTTTTCATTCTTGGAGTACGCTGTTCAGGTCTTTTTTTTTTATATATACAGTTGGTTCAGCTATCGATAGGCTATGACTTTGTTTTTAATAATCAGCTATTGGAAAACCTAAATCCAGAACATCGAGCTGGTATTCAGTGAGCCAATATGGACTCGGAGGTCAGTGTTTTCGATGGATTTCCGGAATATCTATATATAGTTTTCGTCCGTCTCGTCCGTTAAATGGTACAGTTAACCATGAAGATCGTGGTCGAATAAGGCCTATAAGCATCTTTGAATTCCGTTCCGTCACCCTCTGCTTCTTACTCGATGATGCTTCTTTTAATCGGTACTTAACTCGGTTATTTCAGAACGAACCTTGCCTCAGTTTAAGTCTCTTTCCTCATCCCCGGTATCTTCATCTCTGGCCTGCTCCATATCTGATCAAAATCTGTATCTGCTGTTTGCTAGCAGCAGACTCTCCTCCTCCCCCTCAACAAAGGGAATACCATCTGAGTCTATTTGTGTGGAGGTCAGCTTCACTAGCTTTACCCTAGGTGAACCTTGTAAGCTGACATCCTCTTTATTCTATTGACTTCTTCCACAAAATTCACTGTTTGGGACGCCCAGACATATGGACATGGCTCAAAACACTGCTATTGTACGACAAAAAGGATATTTGAGTTTAAATGTTAAGAGGATAGTTATAAGATACCACCCGAGGATTGACCTGTGCTGAGGCTTGAGTCACTAGTCCGGAGAGGTCAACGTAAACTTTGGCTTTTGTTTCTTAAAAACTCAAAATAACTTTGTTTTGGTGAAAAGAAGAAAGGGTTTCCAGTTTCCGCTTACCTTAACCTCGCCTTGACCAGGCATCGAGTTTGCGGGTTCCTAGTATGATGCCAGGCAGAGCCGGATCTTATAATTATGGTCAGAAGCTGGTGAATATTTGAAATCTGTATATGTTTGGCTTGCTTGATTTCCTGGAAGCAATTGAAATTTAGTCTGGTTTTATATGATATTAATTACATGTTCATATCCTAGGAGTTACCACTGAATTAGATATGAGTCTCATGGAAAGTCGATGATCCTCACCCCTGAAACATTCTACTGAGTTTGTTGATTTCGATTGCCGTTTTAAATTGGCTGGGATAACGGTAGTCTCATGTTATCTTTATCAAAGTCATTAGTCTGACTATCGAACTGCTTTCAAATATTTTGTAGGTTCACAAACAAAAATTACTGGCAATATGCATAAGCTGAGAGAGAAGTATGAATATTTCCAATTATTCTGAGAGCAGGCCATTGGAAAGGGTTGTTTTTAGATTTAAAATTGGCCAAGTCCTTGGATTTTATGTTTGTATCTATTCCCACCTTCAAAGAAACAAATACAGATACAGAAACAGATACACAGAGATAGGTTTGACGAAGTCGGGAAGAAAGATATTTACTCTCTTAGACTTCTCTTTTGACTGATGCAATAATACAAGTGAAGTCCTTTCTTTCATAAGCTTGGACTTTCTTGAACAAAATCCAGGCCTCTCACCCTACATTAACCTCGTAATTTTCTTATTGAAACCCTTCAGAAATTTCATATATGTGTCTGGTTTAAGTTCAATATTTTCATGTCAAACTATATGCATTTCTCGTTCATTCTTCCTCTGCAGCCTTCACAGAACTGACAATTATGCAATCGATGATGTTAGATGCTGGTTTCTTACTCTTGGTTTCATGTGTTCTTCATTTTTACTACCTTTCTAAAGGCCAAGAAGTTACATACTGTGATAATTCCATGAATTACACTTCTGGGTGTGCCTATCAGCAGAACCTAAATCTTACCCTCACTTCATTAGCTGCAAACTGCAAATGCTTCTCTAACAGGTTACTATATCTCTACTGTGGGCCTGGGCCAGAACCTCAATCTGGTTTATGGCCTCAAAAACTGTCCAGGTTTTACCCCCAAGGAAGTTTGCCATAACTGTGCAAATTCTGTAGCTACAAAAATCATCCAACGGTGTCCTCACCAGAAGGTTGCTTTTGTATTTAACGAGAGTAGTTTGCTACAGTACTCGGACTTGCCATTTTTCTCAACTGCTGACGTTGCTATAAAGCTTGTTTTTCTTAGCCTTCAGAATGCTGAAGACCCGGTTCTTTTCAGGAGTCAATTAGGAAGTTTGCTTGGGAACATCTCATCCAACGCTGCCGCTGATACTTCAAGATTAGCAGATGGAAGGACTAGTTACACAAGTTCTATTGATATATATGCTATGGTTCAGTGCACCAGAAACTTAACAGGAGATGAATGTTTACGCTGTCTTTGAAGTATTATCGGTTATATTGCGCAGCTTTCGAGTAAAAGTGTAGCTTCTTGGGTATATGCTCTCAGCTGCAGTATTGGCTACAAGATATATTCATTCTTTTCATTGTCAATGCTGTCACCTCCTCCTCCTCCTCCATCAGTTCAATTCAACTCAATTCAACTGCAACTGTAACAAAAAATTCAACCAGTAATCAAGGACAAGGACAGAGTCATGAATTTTTCTTTTCTTGAAGTATTAAATAAATATATAAATTTTTTTAATATTAATTATTAACTTATGTATAAGAATTTTTGAAGTTAACATTAAGATTTTAATTCAAATATACTATCCAAAATATTAAAAATAAATTTAAAAATATATAAAATTGAAGTAAAACTAAAAATAAACTCACCATTAAAGTTACATCCTTTGATATTTTGTAGAATATAATTCATCAATAATCGAATCTGAATTGATATTGTAATAATCCTTCAACTGAAATAAAATAATAATCTCATGTCAACTTGACTACAAAATAATTAATTTTTTTTTTCTCTCAATTCCTCCTTCCTTCACTTGATTCTTTTTTAAATTAGTGTTTTATAAGCTGAATTTTATAAGTTTACAAGGTTATTCTCTTATTTTTTTTAATTTTTTTTTGTTTTTCCCTTACTTTTTTCTCTCTCTCGCCTTTTCTTTTCTTTCTTTTTCTATTTTTCTTCTGCCTAGTCAGCAACATATAAAAAAAAGAAAGAGCTAATTTGTTTTATTTTTTTAATGACAAATAATTATTTTACTCTTAATGAGTTATTTTGCTTTTATTTGACAGTTTTTTTTTTAGCACTACCAAGCTCTTTTCATCCTAAAATTTTAACCATATTTTATTTAATATATTTTAAGATCTTTTGTAAAATTTTAGTTTAGTTTGATGGTCAGATTAAAAATTATATTTAATATTATAAAACTGGTTAAATTATGATTTTTCATCAAATTTATGAATTTTTTCAAAAATTCTAAAATTTTAACCCAAACTATAGTATTATATTACAAGAATTCATGTAAACTTTCAAAAAAAATTGATAACTCAATTGAGAATTATAAAAAAAATATATATAAAATTAGTTAAAAAATATTGATAAAATCTTAATGCAAATTAGAGCCCACCCAAGCCATGCCTCCGCCCTTGCTAGTGATGATGGTAATATTTTGGCCTTGATCCTATATGAATTTCTGCATTGATGAATTTGTAAAAACTTCATATTAGATACCATCACTAGTTGATGGGCTAATAAGATGGTTAGATTTGGTCAGTAGTTGATGAGCTGACAGGGTGAATAAACTTGATTGTTCCACACCCTCTTGAGAAAAACAAGACTCCTGTCGGAATAGGAGACTCTTCAATATTTAAATTTGTAAATGTTTTATAAGAAATGATGTATAAGAAATAAAAGGAGAATGAATAGTGTAAGGAGCATGTGTGATTGTATAGAACTGTGTTGTTTTGTGTGATTTTTTTGAATGGACTTGTATGTTTATTTGATGACCCGATATGTTTAAATATCTCCGGTATATGAGTTTATTTTACGGAGAGTGGTGTAATGATCTCGAGGAGAATGAAGTAATAATAAGGAATAGTTGTTTTTTCTTGTAGGTTTGTTGGTTGTTGTGCCTTTGCTATGCCATTAGATGTCTCCATGCAACCTGAAATCTCTGATTTTGGGCTGGCCAGGCTTTTCTCGGGAAGTCAAACTCAAGGCAATACCAAGCGAATTGCTGGGCTTAGTAAGTGTTGAGCTTTTGAGTTCTGTTACATTTGATACAGTTTCTATATATAAAATGTGGCTTAACAGTTATATACATCGGCACATAATGGAAGGCTTATATTCAGTTTCTTGCTTTATTGACATGAAAGTGGTTGGCTTATATTCTGTTTCTTGCTTTATTGACATGAAAGTGGTTACATGGCACTGCAGTACGCTAAAAAGGGGCACTTTTCAACTAAATCCGATGTTTACAGCTTTGGTATTCTGGTTTTGGAGATTGTCACGGGTCAAAAGATGTCTAGTTTCCGTAATTCAATAAATCTTCAAAGCTGTGTAAGCATGCTGGTAAATTGTTTTGTCGTGTAAGAAAAATGTAGCTGCCATTATTGGGCAAAACTTGAGTGTTTTAATTTGTTCCAGGCATGGCGACACTGGACTAACGGAACAGCTTTAGAGTTGGTGGATCCTACATTAGGTGGGCAAAGGCCAGAAAATGAAAATTTGAAGTGCATCCACATAGGGTTGTTGTGTGTTCAAGAAGCTGTTGCTGACAGACCTACAATGTCACAGATTGTCATGATGCTCAATGGTAACACCATGACCTCTCCCACGCCATCACGACCAGGTTTTTACATGCCAAGGGAAAATTCTGAATCAGCTTCAGGAACAGACGATTCTGGTTCAACTCAGTTGCCAGTGTCATCACAACAATCTATAAATTGGGTTTCGATCACTGAATTATATCGTCGGTAGTGATGTGAAATTTTTATATGGAGACATTGCTAGTTCAGGAAATGGGTTCGCATGACTGGCGCAGAAGTTACGTTTGTTCTTAGTTAACAGCTGAAAATAGAGAATCCATGATCTTGTGAGGTGAAATTTATATGGTAAATAGTTTTGTTTGGTTTCACAGATGACTGAAAGTTTAAGCAAGTTGTAGAGAATTTTCAAGTTTCAGAACCGGGAGAAACATGTAAAATAAGCAAGAAAATGCTGCAGATACAACAAGTCTGTAGACATTAAATCTTCAGATTTTCATAAGCTGGGATACTTGGTGAAAAGTCTGCAGACATTAAATCTTTCAAGTCTGTTGATTTTGAGATTCCCTGTATGTTTTCCTCTTTTTTCAATCGCCTTCGTTTTGAGAAATCACCCTCTGGTATAGCCCAGACAGATGGACTTGGCCACACTGAAACTGCCGCACCTGAAACATTTTACCGAGATGGATTTCGATGTTGTGAGCTGATAAGTTCTTTTGTCACAAATAACTCCACACTTAGCCACCTATATGATGGGCTGTGTTTCCAAAAAGTCCCTGACAAGAACAGTCCACCTGCTTCACATTTAGATGTTCAGCATATTATCACCAGTTGTAAGTGTGAGAGCGGCCAATCCTCAACTGATCATGATCTAGATCAAAAACTAGTACACTCGGATTCAATAAGCATATATATAAACATCTATGAACATATATATTAACAACTAAGTGAGATTAGTCAATCAATCAAATTCACGAGGCAAGTGATGTGTCTTATTAAAGTTAGTAAATTCTTGATTTTAAAGATTATTTTTTATTTAATTATATTATAATAAAGTGAATGAGAGTTTTTTGCATTAAATATTTTAAAAAATAAAAAACATTAAAGGCGTGTTAAGCTAAGGTAACAAAAATAAATTATAGAAAATAAAAGATGAAATTGTATTTTTTAATTTTAAGTGAAATAAAAAAATTATTAATAACAAAGAATAAAAAAAAAATTCTAAAATGAAGAACAAAAAATACATTTAAAAAAATAATAATCCAAATAATATGGATTAATCTATTAAATTCTTGGTGCGCATTTTCAACTCAACTAGGTTTTAAAAAATTATTGTCATGAATCTATATTTAGGTATAACCTAAATATATACAAAGGAAAAGACAAAAAAAATAAAGACAAGACATGACCTATAAGTATAAATCTTTAAAAGAAAAAGTGTAAGTCCTAGAAACATAAGTCTTTAAAAGAAAGAATCTAGACATGTGGGCCTTCCAACCTAAATTTACGTGTTGAAACCTATTTTTATTTTAAAAGGTTATTTGTTTTAAAAAAAAAAAAAGAAAAAGTTTTGCCTTCTAACTCATATCCCAGCCACTACTATATATGATTATGATTGGAAACCAGGATAGTTATTTAAAAAAAATTATTTTTAATTTATTTTAACTCAAAAAAATCTCCCTGTAAACACTTGTAGAACATTTAGATATCAATTTATAAACTTAATAAACCATCCTTTATTTTAAAGGCTTAGTGTCTTTATAATAATGGAACATATGGCAAGCTTCCTGTCTACGTTCACATTTCACAGTCTACAGAGGCAGGCCAATATTGTTTGCCATTTAAAGATGAATGTAGATTTGAGGAAACACCTAACAAAGAAACTAAAGTTTCTTCCTGATATAAAAGAAAAAAGAAAAACAGAGCCCCACTCCGATGATGCTGATTTCAGACATCAAATTAAGCACCCAAAGATGAACTTGATGGGATTTCATTTTTAAAAATATTTTTTGGAATTTCTATGTCATTTTTCCTTGTTGGGTTTCAAAGTGGCTCTTTACTAGGTTAATAATGAATGTATCTGATAATTCCGATGATTTATTGCCTCCTTGTATGTCTTCCTTGAGTCGGTGAATCCTTGTATGCTGACAGCTTCCTCTCTTTTCAAAGACTATATTAATTTTAATGAGAACACCAAGTCATTGGTCTGTCTGACTATCAAACTGCAATCAATTATTTTGTAGAAATTCTGGGAATATGCATGCATAAACTGTTAGAGAAGCATGCATATTTCTTATTATTCTGTGAGCAGGTCGGGTAAAGAATTCTTGCTCTTATGCTGTGAGATTTATATGGCAAACAATCTGTGCCTGTACCTTGTTTACTTGTCAATCAAAATTATAAAAAAAAAAACTAGGGTACACACAATTTCGTTGTTTTTCTAGAAGATGGTATCATATCAAGGAAGCACGTAGATATTAATTACAGGCCTCAGCAAGTCTTTATTGCTATTCAGTACCACTCAAAAAAATGAAAGAAAGAAAGAAAAGAAATTATTGAAAATCAAGGTCTAACACTAAACATAATCTAGTTTGGGCCGGGCATGCACTTGAAAATGTCAATGTTACCAGAACTCTAAGTAAATTAATTAGCAAGGAGATCATTAGGTGAAGTATGAGATTAGGGATGCTCAATTATATGGGTTTGTTTTTAAAAAAAATTTACTTAAAAAATATTAAATTAATATTTTTTTGTTTACTTAAAAAATTAAATTAATATTTTTTTATGTATTAAATTGTTTTAATTAGTAAATATTATAAAAAAAATTATAATTTTGAATTGTTTTGATATACTAATGTTAGAATTGTTTTGATATAGGAATGTTAAAAATAAATTTTAAAAAAATAAAAAATATATTATTTTAATGTATTTTCAAATAAAAAATATTTTAAAAAATAATTTTTACCATAATCTTAAACACTACTAAATACACTAACTGAAGCTAAAATACAATTCTGAATTTTACTCTATTTTTCCTATGTGAGCTTGGAAAATTGCCCTTCGTAAGAGGTATTTGCGAGTGAGCTTCTCATAACAAGCCTCGTTATGTGCTTTCATTTGAAAATTAAGCTAAAAGCCATGAGTTAGTATTTCTGATATTAATACATTCATAGAAAGAAGCACTTGCTAGTAGGTGCTTAAATCATTTAGGATCGTGGTCAAACACCTTGAATGGCCTTCATTTTTTTATTAAAAATAAAATAAAAACAGGTATATGAGGTGTTGTTGGACCGCAACTTATATGGACTAAGACTATTTTTTTAATTAGAGGTTGAATTACATGTCGACCACCATATATGAACTTGTGCATCTATGATTTTTTTTTTCTCGTGACCTTGTTTTAAATTATAAATCAAAATAATAATTGAGAGAGTAAACTAACTTATCAGTAAATAAGCCTACATTTTTTATTTGTTTAAAATAATTATATATCTTCAAATATTTTCTTCCCGAATTGCTCTCAAGACATGGTTGGTTTGGGTGGTAGGAATAAGATTATTTGAACTTGAGATGACTGAATTAGAGTTTTATTATTGGGTTCTTAGAGAGGAAATATTTTTTTCTAATTAATTTTATGAATAAAAATTGATGTAATGTATATCAAAAATAAAAACGAGAATTTTCAAGCTTTAAAATAATAGCCCAAGCTTTAGAGTAATAGCTCTAACACTGTTGAAAAATTATAAAAAAGTCTTTAATGTTATATAAAAGTCTGAATAATAGTATGAATCTAAGGAAAATACTCTATAACTATTTATATAGAATTCCTAAATCTGATCTAATCAAAAAATCTAAATTTACGCAGGAAAAACTAATTAAAATCTAAAATTAATAAAAAAATAATTAAAATAGATAAAATAACAACTTTTGAAATTAATTTTGAAAGATTCAAAGGTAAGATGATTTGCAAAGTCGTTTTTTAAAAGAAAACTGCATGTAAATTCTCTGGAAAAAAAATAAATTCAATCCAATAATAATAGAATGTAATGTTATTGTTGTTTTCATCAGGCTTTATAATCTGAACTCTAACTCGTCCGGGTTTTTTCGTGAACTTTATTTCATTTGTGAACCTATCTATTTTGTCCATAAATGTGTCAGCAGCAGAACGTTGGACGTCGGAAAAATTTTAAATTTTAACCCTAAAATAAATATGGCAGAGTTCCCTTTGAGATATAAAATACTTGACAGTAAGGATATTGCTCAATCAATCTCTGCATATATTTTTATAATAAGTAGTTAATTTCTGTTACCTCTCCACTCTTCTCTCACAGTTTAATTTCTGTTACCTCTCCACTCTTCTCTCAGAGTTGATCATCATCAAATTATGAATCTCTTCCTACTTTTTTATTTTCATTTTTTTATATTTTACAAGCAGTCGGATCATTACTTGAACTGTTCGCATCAGATCATCTCAGTGTTTAGATCACGAGAATCCATCTAGTTTCCTTGAAAAGTTGCACCATTTTATAACTGGGCTTGAACCGAATACCTTCCTTATATCCTATTCTAGCTCTCAACCACTTGTGTTAGCAAGCTTTATCAAATGAAACTAATCTAGCTTTTACATTCATCAACTGTTCAAATCAACCTAACCTCAAAGTTGAGATTTCTTGCCTTCAGCATAGCAAATTCAAATAGAAAGTTCTATCCCTAATAAAACAAATGAAAGGGTCAACCCCTTAACCTCATCCAAGTCAATGCTGTTTTTGCTTTATATATCCCAGTATTATCCCAAGTTTAAGCCCATCAATCAGTTCTAGCAACCATGTCTTTCTCCAACTTCGCCTCCTTTCTATGTCTATTAGCCTTTTCTCTCCTTGTCCACACTGGTTTTGGAGCTGACCCACTTTTCCATTTCTGTTCAACTCCTGAGAACTTCACTGCCAATGGCCCTTATGAATCCAACCTAAACAAGCTTACTAGTTACCTCTACTATCAAACCCCTAGTACAGGATTTGGTCTGGGTTCAATAGGCCAGAAACCGGACCGAGCATATGGGCTTGCTCTTTGTAGAGGTGACGCCTCAACCTCAGATTGCAAGACCTGTGTTGTTGAGGCAGGCGGTGAGATCCGAAAGCGCTGTCCATACAATAAAGCGGCCATCATTTGGTATGATAACTGTCTTTTGAAGTACTCAAACAATGGATTCTTTGG